CGTTGCACTTGGTCCCCTAAGCGCAACCTATCCACACAAGCACGACTGACGAAATTTCACGTAGAACCTATGTCTGCGAAGGCACCAACCTTTCGGCCACCTACATCGACTTCTACAACAAAATGTTCACCCCCTGGACCTTTGTTCAACATCGCCCAAGAGTCTCTAGGGTCTTTCTCTAACCATTCAGTCTCTAACTCAAACACATCCATCGAACAGAGCATCGATTGGTCCGGGTCTGTCTGTGGTGCGTTCAAGGGGTCAATAGCCTTGGCCATCGTCTGAAATGGAGAAGGTAAGGTAACCACTCCAGCACGAGTAAGAGCGGCTAACACTCCTACTGGCCCGAGGTGTTTCCCTGGGAGGTGTTTGCAGAAGCACTACCAGAGTTGGAAGATTCGACAACCGCTGTAGGGGATGCTACCTTCCCGGTGACTAACTTACTCTTGCAGTTCCTCATTGTATGCCCATACCGGTCACAATTGCGGCACGCGCCTCGTGCAACACGGTCACGTCACACCTCGTACTCTAGACCAAGCTTCACCCATATGGGTGATCCTTGGTCACCTTGACCCTTAGGCCGACCTAGCTTCTGTTTCCCGGTCCCCTTCGCCTTTTTTTTAATGGGGCCAGCTACTCCACCATCTGAAGTCTCCCCACTTCCATCTATCTCTGTTTCTTCCCCAAGATCAAAGAAGCCATCAGTCTCAGTCGCTTGACCATCGTGGTCAACGAACATAAGATTGTCTTTCTTCCTCCAATTCTGAGGAAGCTTCTTCTTCCTCCCATCAATTGGTACTTGTTGGGCACTCCCAAGCCTAGCCTCAATGTCAAAGGCCTTCTTGCTGAAAGAAGCAAAGTCATGCATGTCGATGGAGGCCTCATTGACCTAACTTATTTTTGACATCTGTAGACAGACATCTCAAATAAGTCGTCAAGAGTACTTGTGGTTCGTATCGTACACCCGGGACAACGATCAGTCGCTCTACAATGTCTGTTACCTCGCGAACTGTCTGGTATCTCTTCGATCCCAAACTTGCAAGCGAGTCAGTGGCCTTCTAAGCCCCTTGGGGTCATGCCACCTGTGATAGACCAGCCGTACGAACTCCTCCAATGATCTGGCCTGTGCCCAGCCATCGAAGTTCTGAATGTAGTCCTGCTGCTGTACTAACCCATTCAACCATCTAGCTGTAGATCCTTCTAGAAAGGACGCAGCAACAATGACTTCCTCCTCTGTCCTAGTAAGCTCATGCCTCACATATGTAAGCAGAGTTCTCACCCAGGTGTCCAGGTCCTCGTCCTTCTTCTTGTCACCGGAGACTGGTTAAGGACTCAACAAGGGTATCTTGGGTGTCCACTGCACGGGCTGTACAGCACCCTGTGCCTGCTGCATCGGTTCAGTAATCGATGGAACAGGCCGCTGCAGCGGCATTTGTTGTTGCAGTGGCACTTGCTCCTGCTGCTGTACCTGCTGCTCCGGCGGACCTTGTTGCAAAGGGTGGTGCATGTGTGGCTGCCCTGTAGCGGCAGCCACTAATTGGGGAAATGAAGAAGGCTGTACATAAATCTGCCCACTACTACCTGCTACTAATCCGCCTAACGGGGGCATGCCAAACTGAGGGGCAAAGGGCTGCCCTGTCGACGACAGCGTCAACACTGGACCTGCAACCATAGGGGGAGCTACAGCAATCTGGGGTGGCCTCACTGGAGGTCGAGGCGCCCGCAATGCGGTCAGAATCTGGTTCGGACCAGCTATCAGTGCAGCCAACATTTCCTGCTGAACAGCCTGCACTTCAGCTATGCTCAACAAGGAGTTCCGAAGGGACAGACCCACTGGATCGAGAGTCGACTCATCTATAGCTTCTAACTTGCCTAGCTCCTCAGACTTGCCTCTAGCCTGGCTTTTCTAATTCTAGCTTTCTCTCTCCTTTCCTCTACTTCCCGTAACTGGCTGTAACTCTGCGTGGAGAGCATTCGTTTGCTGGATCGCATAATTCTCTTCTGACATGGGTTGCTGCTGCCTGACCTGCAAGCCAGCAAACTGACTAACGGAAGGCTGGTCATACCCAGACTAACACCTGACAAAGAGGCCTGAGATGAGGCATGTGACATTGTAGAGGCGGTAGCCATGGCTGCCTCGGCGTCGGCTCTAGCGTCTGCTGCTAATGCTGCTGCTAGTGCCCTTTCAGCGTTGGCTGCTGCTTCCCTAGCCCTCTGCAATGCCGTACTCTCTCTGGCTTCTCTTCGCAGTCTCCTTTCCTCTCCTTGTTCAAACACTAGGAAAGTGGTCGGCCGACTAAGTGCAAGTCTCCGGGTAAGCCTCCTATTGTTTTCCTCAACCTCACTGTCATCTCCACTCATGAGCTATGCGTGGCCTGCGATGTGCATTAGTGTCCTCGGTGGGACCTACCGCAGCATGGCACCCAACCGGTTAAAATAAAACAAAATAAATATTCGATACAGCTTTGTCAGAGAGTAGCCAAGCGGTAACAGCAGATAATCTCAGATTCCTACACACAATTTTATTCCTACTTTTGACTAGTCTGAAACAGATTGCGGAGCAGCCAAGAATATTTACTACTCGATCTGCAGCAGTCTGTTAGTTGTTAGCAATGCCCGTCACAACTAACTAATCAAAAATAAAAGTAAAATAATTTGCCGGTGTGCATGCAGAATTGAATTTTACAATAATTAACAATCGAACAGTTTACTGGAATCTTTCCTCCCCCTGTATCCCTCTTGAGTAATCACTTCGTGTCAACGTCCTGAAGCTCTGGTTCAGCTGCTTGTCTGAAGGTGTGCAATCGGCCCACCCCTGTGCCCCAATTCAATGCAGAACTGGCCAGCCCCGGCCATACTATTTTTATACTTGCGTACAGCACGAGTCGTGTATCCCTGCCGGAGTGTCTTTATAGACGATCCGCTACTCGTCTCTCCCTCATAGGGCTGGCCTGCTCGACATGACCTCTACAGTGCAGCAAGCAGACCAAAGGACAAGCGACAAAGCATGCGTTTTCTAGTCCCTGCGGGTTGGCATGGTGATCGTGACCCGAGTGCTTCGTCCAGGGCCCTTCAGAGGCAATGCCCATCTCCCACCAGCTTGTTCCCCAGGAAGAATGTTGACTCTCAAGGTTGAGCGCTCGCGACACCTCACGATGAGAGGAGTCTCAAGACAGAACTCACTTCCTCATGGTAAGAAGCAACGAAGAGGGTAGATAAGGTAAGAAGCAACGTACCTCATAATGCTGCCCCCAGCCACAGATTTCTCACCAGTAACCTGACGTGCATCTATGATGACCAGTCGATGCCTCGGCACAACCCACAATACCATGCAGTTCCACCTCGACTTAAATGCCACGTCAGCAAGCTCTTATCATCCAGCGTGCACCCCTTATGTCACCGCATAGCCTTCCTGGTGCGCCCACACGACACTGGGCTGCCATCACAACCCAACGCACAAGTGTTATATCCAGCAAAGCACAAAACAGCTATTGCGAAGGAGCCAGTGGAGCGGCTCTAACCAGCTCCGATACCAAATTGCGAGGAAAATGAGCGATGGCGAAATGACAGAAATCCAGAATGACAAATCACATTGAAAGCCAGAAAGTCCAACGGTGTCCAGAAAGCAGAAATGCACCGATATATCACCAACGGAGAACCAAAGCACCGAATCCAAATGTCAATGACAGCTTACTCTCGCCACCACCAACATAATATGTATCCAGATCCCTTCCTCCTACTAGGCGCTCAGCGCCCAGACTACAATCACACAGCTACTACCAGCCTACGAATTGACAATGCAACCTGTTGGCGTCAGCAGCAGAACCGAAGTACATGAAGATGTGGACCCTTGTAGACCATCACGAAGACCAGGTACGTGCCCTCACATCATCATCCTCGTCTCCCTTTCTCTCTCACCATCAACTTCTACACCCACCTCTTCTCCCCCATACACGAAGACCACCACCACCTCCTGCTGACTATCCAAGCCCAAGCCCGGCTACATGGGCTGGGCTATGGCACTGCCCTCAGCAGCGCCCTGCCTCTCGCACGACCTCACGCGTGCACTTCTGCACTGGCGCTAGCAGCAGCACGCGAGCACTCGCTCCAGCAGCGCTGCCGCCCGCTCTACCAAGTGCCCGATCCCCGTGCGGGAGCCCGACCCTTTCCTATATGGAAAGTGGCGGGCGCATCCCACTTGCTTGCCCCGTGAGGCCAAGTTTCCCGTAGCTTCAGTCTCAGCCAAAATGTCCGCACCCAGGCCCGTTCACACAGTGGCCTGGGACCGATTTGGTTAGGCATGCCCAACCACCCAGGCACAATGTGCGGTGTTCCCTGCTTCAACCACGTTGCTGCAAGAGCCTGGAAGGCTCACAAATATTTCCGATTCTCATGAGCGAAGCGGATGTAACCAACTGGCGCGTGGCAACTCTCAGGCGCCCACCAAGATTTGTGAAAATCGACGAGCTCAGGGCACATTGAGATTCAGGGGGGGGGCCTTCACTTAGGGTGGGCACATGCCTGCTGCAGGGCCTTATGCCGAGGGGTAAACCCTCGCAACTGTTTCCAATGTGTTTTGGCCAACCCTGAAAATCCTGAGAATCCTGAAAAACTGAAAAGAGTGAATTTTGCATGAAAACGCACTTCTGCTTTGGGAATTTAGGCCCCTTTGATCCATTTTTTTGAATTTTTTTTCCTTTTTTTTTTTTTGCTGTTGGATTATTTGGTGTCCGCTCTTTGGGCTGGTCACAAGTCTGGCTTAAAAAAGGGGTGGGGGAACATTTGTTACAATGACCCTGAAAAAAACCAGAAAATTTCGGGCTTTCGTGTAAAAAAAAAAAGAAAAGAAAAAAAAAAGAGGCACAAACTTTTTTTTTTTTTGTCAAGGGACAACCCAAGCTGATGCTAGCGGTGCTGATAGGAGCAGACACCACTAGTTCTCACTGGGAGGTTCGAACTGGCAAGCTTACAAATTTGGGTGCAATTCTGTGCGAACTTACTTTTGCACTTGCGGACTTGGTTAGGCCTTCGATATGCCGCCTGCTGACGATCGTGAATGCCTTCTTAGAAATAATCTGGGATAGTCTAATCTCACCCGAAGGAAACGACAAGGAAGAAGAAGAAGATGAAGATGAAGAAGAAGAACCACAGCCACAAGAAGAAGAACGGCTAAAAGACTCCAGCACAGGAGAGCTCCGTGCCTCTGCAGTGGCAGCTACTGCTGTCCCCATTATCGCTGCCATTGCTGACAAAGCTGTGTGCTTCGCACCCACGCGCAGTCTTCCCTATCCCCTTGCTGGAGGGCCGGGAAGAGCCTCAGCTACATGTATAAATAGCATATAAGTGCAAGCCAGCCCAAGACAGAGGTGAAGTCTGCATACAAATAGATGGCTCTGGTTTCCTTCACAAAACGACAGCGCGGTAGACCTGACAGCGCTTCGCCCGATTTTGCATTGTCTTTGCTGTCTCACCGGTGGAGAATCTGCCAATAAAAAAAGGTAGAAGTTAGCGCTTCGCCTGATCTTCCCTGTCTCACTGGTGCAGAATCTGCCATAATAAATCACCAAAGAGCCTAGCTCAGTTGGTACACCCATGAACTGTTGAAATACAGACCTGAGTTCAAATCCTGCTGGACTTAGATGAGTGGAATAAATCATTCTGAATTACCGAGGGCCGGTCCAATGGATGAAGATATCCCAAGGCCGTCGCCCTTTTTTAAACAAGAAAGAGAAAAAAGAAGAATCGGCCAATCAAAAGGTAGATGTTCTCTTTGCTCTCGAACCACATGGATACATAATATATACCCACCTCCGCAGCTAGTGATTGGCCGCTGCGCTCCCAAGCTGGGAGCACGCCTGATCAATTGCCATGGCCGTCAGTATAAAGAGGCTGTTCGAGATGACCAGTCCGCCGGACGGATGACAGTTCGATCTCACAGTTGCAGCGACAACACTGCGACCCTCCCTCTGCTGAATCCTTGGAATCCCCTTCCCAGCACTAACAGATAACTGTACAAAGGAGATAGACTGCCCCGCGGTACCGGAAAAGAATAAACAGTATCTCCTGATGCTCCTCAGGATGTCCCCTTACAAGAGTTTCTTGTGCCCTTGGGGCTTCCTGGACCTCATGGTACCTCGGGACAGGCCTTATGGTACTGGGGACTGCAACCAGAAACAGAACAAGCAACAAGTGGGACGAGAAGGAAAAGGAGGAGGAGGAGGAGGAGGAGGAGGAGGAGCAGAGAGTGAGGATCAAGATATCGAGACTGGAACCTTAGGGTCCAAGGGGTTTGCCGATGCCAGAACGACGCTGGCAGGTGCTGGGGCATAGCCCTGTGATCTGTTTGTAGCAGGAGCTTGAGGCCTGGTAGAGAGATCTGGGGATTCGCCGAGGGAGGAAGACAATTCAGTGGCGAACTGGGGGGGCTGCCAAGACAACCTAAGGGGCTGGGTATAGTCCAGGTAGTGACAACACGTCAGCTATAACTGGTACTGGTTGGGATGATATTGTCTTCGGAGAGTTGTGTTTGGTATAGGAGGGGGGAGACTAGGAGTTGCTCATAGATTGAGAGACCAGGTTTTGCTGATGTGGTTCATATCTTACCACTAGATGACCCGTTGTGGCTTCGCCCGCAAAAACAGAAAAGGAAAAAAAGCACAAAAGAAAGAAAAAGCGTAAGGAACTCCCCTATCATATGCCGCCGAGCCTTTTTTCCCCTTTATCTTTGAGTGTTTTGTTTGGGGAGCCATTACCTTCGCAGCATCGTTTTTGTTTTGTGATGTGCAAGAACTCTGCACTTTTCTGAGAAAGTCCTGTCCATTGTCCCGTTGATGTTTTTGCAGCTAACGATTCAGATTCAGACTTTGTTTGCTGTGTTCTCTGGATATGTTTGTGATCCATCTTGCATGTATGCATGCCCCATGCTTACTTGTTGAGTTTTTACGCTATGTGCGCAAGTGCATGCGTGTGTGGGTGAGCCTCACTTTGGTGGGCTCGGATGATGTCATTGACAATTGGCCCTGGGAAGTTGAAGGAAGTCGGCTCCAACTATAGGAGTGACACTGATGTTACGCAGGTTTTGCATTGTATGAATGAAACAATCACCATTCAATCTGCTTGGCAGTTGCTCTTCGGGTGGGGGACTTCTCGGGAGTAGCATTGACATGAGAGCATCTTGGAGCATTTCCGGGAAGGCAAAACGCAAAGAAGAAACGAAGTAGCACGTGTCAGAGTCACATAACGGACAGCTTGGCACAGTACCCCCCCTTCTCTCTCTCTCTCACACACACACACAAAAAAAAAAATAAAAAAAATCAAAAAACAAAAGACAAAATACAAAAGACATCCTGGCACTCGGCGCGGCTATACCACTCACCACCTCGGTGGCTTCCCCTCACCCTCCTTTCCCCCGTCTATCTCTCTCTCTCACACACACATACGGAAAAAAAAATAGAGAAGAAAAAGACAAAAGCATGATGAACCTTTAA